GCGGGCGCCCAGCGGCCGCCGTGCCGGCACTCGGCCCTGCGGCTGCCCTGCAGGATGTAGCCGGGGTGGCACTGGAAGGCCACCGTGTCCCCAGGATTGTACGTGGCTCTGTCCTCTCCAGCTACTGCTCCGTTCTGGATTGCTGGGGTTGTGCAGACAACGACTGGAAAGGAAAACGAGAAAGCATGGGCTGGGGAAGCAGCTGCCAGGCGGGGGCTTCTCTCTTTGTTTCTTTCCATGGTGAAAATTCCCCAGGAACGTAGAAATTCTCCCCTACATTCAGGGAAAAGCACACAAGGAGAGAGGAGAGCAGTGTGTGTAAAGCCATGAAATCCCCACCCGGGTGCTACCCCCTGCCCATGCCTGACCCACGCTGCACCAGGCCCACGGGACCCTCTGCACTGCTGGGCTCCTCTCTGGGGCCGTTGCCTCCATTTTGACGTTAGGGAGAGCACACACCTTCACAGCGGGGGTAAGGGATGCTCCACGTTCCGGAGGGCAGACAAGAAACTTTGGTGGTCCCCGTGAGCGTGTACCCCGGGTCGCAGTGGTAGTTCACCGATACGCCGGGGATGAAAACTCTCCCGTCCTTCCTGCTGTACTGGCCGTTTTTGATGCTTGGCGGGGAAGGACACAGCAGCACTACATGGAAGGGAAAAGTCAACAGCTGTGATGAGGTAACACAAGCACATGCTGTAGGGACAGACAGCTTGCTTGCTTTCCCATTGATCTTCCCCAAATAAGTGTGGATGCCAATGTTTGAGTCATATTTCTGTCTTCAGATTTCTGCCTTGTCAAGCTGTCTTTCTACCAATATTTTTTTCTAGCTTATGAACATCCCAAGGGAGTATTTCTCACTTAGCATTTGCAGTAGTGCATTTTCTTCTACGGTTGTGGAAACAATCAGACAACAGCCTGTGGCTACACCTCCCTTCCCCAGGATTCAGATGGGCGGTGAAACCCCCACATGTAACAAGAATCTGGATGGGGATTATCAGGATGGGAGGACAGACATTTGTGTGCTTTTCCTTTCTTTCCCTTTGGACAGAAGCACTTCATACCCTTTTACCCCAAAACAAAGTAACTGTCAGCTGTACTTGTATGGTGGCTTCAGGAAAACCAGCCCCACTGCTTCACTTCCACTTACTCTTTTCACAGATGGGGACAGGAGGGTCCCAGACACCTCCAAACTCGCATCGAGACTCTTGAGAGCCCTTTAAGGCATAGCCAAAATCACACTCAAAGACAACAGTGTCCATAAGTTTGTATGTGGTCTCAGGTCCGGTTGCTCTTCCATTCTCAATCTGGGGTCTTGTGCAGCCGGTGGCTGGAAGTGAAGAACATAAACCACCGTTTAGGATGTGAGGCCTGTGTTGTGTGCACAGGGGCGCTGACAGCAGCCAACAGCTACACCAAGGACCTTCCCAACCCTTCTGCAGCACCTCAACGTTATTAAGCATTACTCACACAAATCATTCAGGAATATCAATATCCTGTTTTGTGAGAGTCGGCCCTTACTGGAGTAAAGAAAGGGAAATCCAAAGAAGCCTGGGGAGCCCCATCTTCGGCCTGTGCCTTTCATGGAGATTTGGTCTGCGGTGATTAAACCAAGAGCTAAAATGGGAAAAACGGCTCAGGGAATGAGAAAAGCAGCAACATGAACAGACCTTCACAGCGGGGTCGGGGCCGGCTCCACGTTCCCAAGGCAGTACAGTTAATGGATGCATTCCCAATGAGGGAATAGCCATTCCTGCAGGTGTATTGAACTGTTGTTCCAGGGGGAAACCTGCCTGAGGACCGATGGTTGTGCTTCCCATTGGCAATGTTTGGAGGAGGAGAACAATACACCTCTGAAAAGGGGAAAGAAAGATCAAACACACGGAAAGGGCAAAAAAAGGGAAAAAATAAAATATACATAAAATATTCTAACCTTCAAAAATCAAAGGAGGAAGACAAGTAATTCTATTAATTCTTTTTATTAAATTTCTGTGAAAGTAGCTGTCTTCCTATGATTGGATACAGTACCTGCTTGTGGGCCAACCACTTCACTGCTGTGACTGTCCTTTCTTCTGCAACTCATATTATCCACACTTATGGATGAAATCTCTGAGGCTGCTATATGAAATTGCTAAATTCTGTGTAAAATTTCCCACATCTGTGGTTTCTCCTTCATCCCTCAGCAGTTTTACTGCACCGCTGCTGCTTCCCTGACTGCACATGAGAAATGTTGGGCAGCAAAATTTTTGGTTTGAATGATGAGCTGCTTTCTCTAAAAACACTGGGGTAAGCAAACTCCAATAACTGTTTGTGGTGACCTACTTACCCCGGCAAACAGGAACCTCCCCACTCCATAAAACACGTGTGCCAGAGACCTCACATCTCCTCTGAGAAGGTCCGATCAACTTGTGCCTGTGGTTGCACAGAGGGATTGTGAGTAGAACCCACACTTCTCTCCTAGAAACTAAGTTCCTTAGTGTAAAACTGTTTTGACACTTAAGATCTCCTAAGCTTGCACTTGGCAGCTGAAATTAGCTAATCATTAGACTTACCCTTCTTCACAACTGTAATTCACTTTTGACCCAAAGAGGAGGTCAGTCAGAATTTCAACTCTGCCGTTCTCCGGTACCTCTGGGTTAGGACATTGCTTCCCTAGAAGGGGACATCAATTAACATTAGACCTCTCCTGTTCAACAGCATGGTGCAGTGAAATCTTATCCCAAGAATCCTAACATAGAGAAAAGACTGTAGAAAGTAAAGAAACCTGCAGAGTTAGAGGGATTTACACTCAAAGAGTGTTAAAAACCAACCCCAGCTCAAGACGCTGGGGTTTTCAGCACATACTTTTGCAGAACTCCGGTGCTGCAGACCATGTCCTGTTTTGGAGACACGTGACAGCGGGCTGCATTCCTGGGTGTTTGGCATATCCAGGCCGACACACATATTCCACTGCCCTCCCCACTGCGAACACAGCCTGATTGCTCAACTCCTCCTTGAGCTCAGCAAACACCAGCCTTGGAGGTGCGTTACAGCCAGCTAACGAGAAAGAGAAGAGATGTCAGACAAAACGCAGGCAGTAAATCGCAATAGAAAAATTATCTTAAACAACCTTCCATTTACCTGCTTCACTTTTTCAAGCCCTAACTAGGCTTGTTAGGACTTGCTTTTATTTTCACAAATAATTTCCACCCTCTACACGTTTTCTATACAAATGCCATTTTCAGTCCTGCCCAAAGCATCCCTTCTCATCTTAAAGGAGCCTATAAACTCATATAGAACCAATGAGATTCTGATTACATTAAAGCATGAGTTCTTTTTAAACTATTTGTTGTATCCCTGAGGGCCTACACATCAGTTATATGGAGGTACAGTGCTCTGCTCAAACAAGCAACGTTTCTTTCACACCAGTGATAATTCACAAATAGACTGATCTCCAAAGCAAAAGTGAATCGTGCTGATTTCTTGAAGCCAATTTGCTCTGTCTGTGCTTCCCCAGAGGCTCCCCCGTCCCACAGACGTGGTAGCACAGCAAGGAAAAACCAGAGGAAGGGCATAGGGACCTTCACAGCGAGGGATGGGGAGGCTCCAGGTGGCATTTGCAGTGCAGTTAAGCCGTGCGTCCCCGACCAGAGCGTAGCCACGGTCACAGTGGTAATTAACAGATGCTCCAGGGCTGAAAGTCTGCCCAGGCTGCCCGCTGTGCTGCCCGTTGGAGATGGCAGGAGGGGCTGGGCACGCCAATGCTGAAGAGAGAAGGAAAATCTTATCAACATCCACAGCAGCATGAAGAAAAAGTAAAAACAGAACATCTCGTTTGATACAAAGGTGCAAGTTTTGACAAGAAGTCCGGAAAGAAGTGCAGGATCTCAGAGCAGAGGCTGTGCAGAGCAATGCAGCTGTGAAGAAGCCTCTTGCGGTTGCAATCGCATTTAGACTTAGGTCTGAAAATCATTTTCCTGCAGACAGGGAGGATTGTGCTGAGGGCCTCCTACCTCCGCAGCGCGGCGGCGGGCTGCTCCACTCGCCGTTGTGCCCGTCCCGCGTGGTGCAGTGCAGGGAGGCCTCGCCGCGCAGCGGGTAACCCGGCTCGCACGTGTACGTGACAGACGTGCCGAAGGAGAACTCGTCCAGCAGCCGGCCCGTGTGCTTCCCGTGGGGAATGTCTGGAGGAGGCTCGCAGGGAATTCCTGCGGAGATGCAGAACAAGGCTCCTCAGTTCAGCAATGGCACTAAAGTCTCTGCAGTCCCCCCGCTTTGGGGCATAAATACTTGCCCTAGGGATGGAAAACTGTGGTGAACTAACCTAGGTGATACCTTGTAGGCATCTGGATCCCGTTCACCTAACCAGCAATAGCGTGCTAGTCAGAAAGCTGACACAACAGGACAAACCACCATGAAGGATGTATCTACATACTTTATCTTTTCTACTCTTTCAAAGTAAAAAAGCAAATAATATTCCTTTTGTGTCAACTGTGTAAAATATTGATATTTCATCTGCACACAGTGAGTAATTTCTGTGGCACATTTTAGGTTAATATACACCAGCAAAATCTGGTGTATATTTTAAATGCCCAAGTGTACCTAGAGCTGTAAGCTACTTACGCTGACAAATGGGAAGGCTGCCACTCCATTCAACACGCGCCGTGCCAGCAATCTCACATCGCCTGCTAGACGGCCCAATTAACCTGTGCCTGGTGTTAGAAGGATTTAACATTCATTCCAGGTCATTTCAACCCCAGTTATCTCCTTCTCACCACCCATGACAGCCCGAGCAGCCCTGCTGACGCCTTGCTGACGTCAAACCTCATGGGAGAATCTCCCTTTCAAGTTCAGCACCCCCTTGCCAGTTTGACAGTATATACACGTATGTACACAAGAGAAAACACCTTATCTGTTCATATACATAAAGCACTCTATACAGGAGCCAAATCCATTTTAAGGGAAGGAATGAATACAAGGGAAAAACAGAGACTTACCAAGTGCATCTTTCTTTGCAGTTTTAAGTAGCAGCAAAAAATAGGTCTGCAACCTTGCACTTACCCTTCCTCACAGCTGTAATTCACTGTTGACCCAAATAGGAGGTCGGTTAAGAAACTAATCTTGCCATTCTCAGGTTCACCAGGATGACTGCACTGTTTCCCTGTAGGAGAACAAAACTAATTTTAGGCTTTTATATACACCATGGTACAACAAATGCAATTACTACCCCAATAATCTGTCCTCATTTCCACTTATCCACCATGTGGGTTTTAAATAACAAAGTTACATGGCTTTACTAGTCACATACTGCTTCAAGAAGAAAATAATGCTAAGTTTTTTGTAGCATGGACAGATATGCCTAATTCCTTCTTGAACAAGAGACACCAAATCAATGGAGCTATTCACTTTTACAGAACTCTAGTGCTTCTGACCACACTCCACTGTCAAGGCATGTAATAGTAGGTGACATTCTTGGGTGTTTAGCATATCCAGGTCGGCAAATGTATCTCACAGTCTTCCCCACAGGAAAGTCAATGTCATTTTTATGCTCCTCACTTAGCTCTGCAAAGAACAACCTTGTAGGAGCACCACAACCACCACCTATCAAGAAAGGAAACACAGAAGAGAATTAGCACTTTGCTTTGGCGGGACAAGCAAACCAGATGCAGGTGCAGAAAGAAACACTGTTATCAAGAAAGTGCTTGGTCTTGTATCATTTTGATTAATACAGATGAAATATCTTTTTTTTCTACAGCATTTAGTCCTGTTTCTGATGGCAGCTTGTTCCCAGGATATACTTGCGTCTTCCACTTGCTTGACAAAAAAAAATATAGAATTTAACCATTTTTTTTAAATAGTCAGAGCAGAGGACATAAAATAACAGAGCCCACAAATGCCATGATGTACCTAGAAGTGTATGCTTCTGGGGAAGGCTTGGTGAAGGTTCACCTGTACCACACACGGGAACAGGAGGATCCCAGGTGCCATCCTTCTGGCAGTAGATTTTAGCACTTCCTTGCAGATTGTAACCATCATGACACTGAAATGTAATTGATTGCCCAGGTCCATAGATAAGTCCTTGACCATCAACTTTCCTTCCATTCTTTATGTTTGGATTTATGCAGACAGTCACTGAAAATGAAGATGTGCAGAACAAATGTGCCAAAGCAGTTAAAAAACAAACAAACTACTAGCGGATGTCATTACTGCAAGCAACAAGTTCTACATGACATTTCTATCAACTTTCCCAGTCCCCTCTTCACAGTGGAAGAGCTCAAAATTAATTTATGCTAGGCCACACATTAAAAGGCATTAACGAGCTCTACAGACCCAGTTGCAATGGGCAGCTTTTCCTCCTGCGCTGGGAGCTGCTGGGTTCGGGGTGAGGTTGGAGACCATGGACCCACCTTCACAGCGGGGCGTGGGGAGGCTCCAGTTCCCAGAGGCTCTGCAGCGAGCGACCGCGTTCCCAACGAGGTAGTAGCCGGGATCGCAGGTGTACACCACGGACATTCCCATGGTGAAAAACGCCATGTCCAGGCCGTCGTGATGGCCGTTAGCAATCCTGGGAGGCATGGGGCACGGGCGGACTGTAACAGGGAGGGACAGTGTCTCCAACGAAGCAAGAGAATAGCAGCAAAGGGGGAAGGGGCTGAACACATAGCCTGGGGTGCTGGCGCAAGGCCAGGAGCACCCGGCCACGAGCAGGTGGGGACAGAGCCACCCAGGAGGGCTCATGGTGGCACCTCGGGTCTGCCCGGACCCCGCAGCAAGGAGAGCAGCGGCACTCACTGCGGGTGCAGCTGAGCACCGGGGGGTCCCACGCGCCCCCCACTTGGCACCGGGCCTCGTAGGTGTCCTCGGGGGCGTAACCATCTTCACAGACAAAATGAAGAGTCTCTCCAGCTTTGTAGGTCGTCTGCCAGCCGTGAACTGCCCCGTTCTGAACTGTGGGGCTCTCGCATCCGATGGCTGCAGGGAACATGGAACATAACATCCTTTAAATGCCCGTGCACGGGTAGGCCAGCAGCACACTCAGCCTCATCCCTTCCCGTCGCTCCCAGAAGCGTTTCCGTGCTCTGCTGACACCCAGGTGCAAAGCGCTGCCCCCCGGCCCTGCGATGGCCATGAACCCACCTTCGCAGCGGGGAAGGGGCCGGCTCCAGCGCCCGGTGTCCGTGCAGTTGATGGACGAGTTCCCCACCATGGCGTAGCCTTCCCTGCAGCTGTAGGTCACCAGCGTGCCGCGGGGAAAAGAGTCTGAGGCCTGGCCACTGTGCTGCCCGTTGGCAATGTTGGGTGCCCGAGGACACTTCACCTCTGGAAAGGCAGGCAAAGGGTCAGGAGAATGCTTGGAAGAGGTGAGACCCAAGTCAAAAACACAACTCAGTCACATAAGAAGCAAAAAACAGTGGAGAAGCTGGAAGGGGATGCAGGGGGTCTATCCATGGTACTGTCTGTGTCTACCACTTAATAGCCAGCTTCGTGGTGCCCCAGGACTCCTCTGACTTCTCTGGAGAAAGAATGTTGAATCCGTTCACAAAATGTAGCAGTTCCTACCTGGAAGGCTGCGTCTCGGAGCACAGCAACAGCTGCCTTGCAGCAACGCATCTCCAGATGGGTTGCTTCTTGGGCTCGCTAATGCCAAGCTGGTGCTGGAGCACCTTGTGGAGGGACCTAATTTTGGAGACTCCTTTGCATTTGGTCTCAAATCAAATGATTTGCTGGCTTTAGGAGTCAGTAGCACACATTCACACACAATACTTTGAATTATTGAGCTGCACCACAGCAGGGACCAGCCGGCACTAACCAGAGCAGGCCGGGCAGGTGGGAAGGCAGCAAGTGCCCAACACCTGGAGAGCTACGTTTCTCTGACCTCGGAAACATGAAAATGGAAGACACGGAAGGGACTCTTGGCCCCTGGCACATGGCTCCTCACACTGAAAGTGCTGCACTGATAAAGCCTGCATATAAAGTTACCTGGCTCCTGTTCACAACTATAAGCTTGTCCTTTATGTTTTATAAAACTGCAGGACTCAGATCCCCCACTGAGGGTCCTAATTGCAATGGTTGACTTCTCTGCTGTGCTGCCTGCTGCACTGGGAGCTGCTGGGTTCAGGGTGTGGTTGGAGACCATGGACCCACCTTCGCAGCGGGGCGTGGGGAGGCTCCAGTTCCCAGAGGCTCTGCAGCGAGCGACCGCGTTCCCAACGAGGTAGTAGCCGGGATCGCAGGTGTACACCACGGACATTCCCATGGTGAAAAACGCCATGTCCAGGCCGTCGTGATGGCCGTTAGCAATCCTGGGAGGCATGGGGCACGGGCGGACTGTAACAGGGAGGGACAGTGTCTCCAACGAAGCAAGAGAATAGCAGCAAAGGGGGAAGGGGCTGAACACATAGCCTGGGGTGCTGGTGCAAGGCCAGGAGCACCCGGCCACAAGCAGGTGGGGGCAGAGCCACCCAGGAGGGCTCGTGGTGGCACCTCGGGTCTGCCCAGCCCCAGCAACAAGGAGAGCAGCGGCACTCACTGCGGGTGCAGCTGAGCACTGGGGGGTCCCACGTGCCCCCCGCTTGGCACCGGGCCTCGTAGGTGTCCTCGGGGGCGAAACCATCTTCACAGACAAAATGAAGAGTCTCTCCAGCTTTGTAGGTCGTCTGCCAGCCGTGAACTGCCCCGTTCTGAACTGTGGGGCTCTCGCATCCGATGGCTGCAGGGAAC